TGTAGGGGAAGACCGCAAACTGCCATATGCTGTTTAGAATGATTAGGGAGATTACGGTGTCTAGCAACTGGTTTGGATGTGTCCTTGTCATTTCTTTCTACGTAGCGAAGGTGTTCTCGGAATCGGTCACCTAGTCGTCTTCCTGTTTCACCAATTTATAACCTTTTTGCAATAAGTGCAAGTTACGCAGTAAATGACATTAGCGGAGGTGCACGTAAAGCCGCAAAACTCTGGAACAAAAATTCATCTTCCAAATCGGTACCCTCTATCCCAACAAACGCTTTTCATTCAATTCATTTATTTTTGTTTTCTCTTTACACGTGCACTCGTAAGATCCCTGAGTATTGTCACAAACAGCATTCACATCACAGTCGCGTGCTCCATCAGTATATTCTTTTCGTACATTCGGCAGCTACTAGTACTACACGACTGAGTCCTTATAAACATTTAAAAAGTATCTTAGAACATTCCGGAAGCTTACAACACAACTATTTTGGTAGTATTGTAGCGGAGCTCGCAGAGCGTAGCCCCATAATTATACAAAATAGTAGTAACCCATCAAGCCGAAAAAATTTGGATGTACCGTACAAGGTGCTACTTTTAACATGCGTGGTCAAGTGTACCGCGGGCACGCCAGCGCCACGGCTTTGTTCAGTAGTCCAGTGGTCAGTGCACTGGGCTCTGAGTCGGACGACCCGGGTTCTAGTCCTGGCCGGGGCAAGGCGTTGTGCCCTTGAGGCGGGCGGGAAAAAAAAATGCGAGCTCCGCTTTTAGGCTTGGCTAAATCTATACATTATCATGACTACGTGACCTAATAGGATGTTCCAGAAAGTTTCATGGTATGACAGTAGAATGTTCGTGGATGCATGTTAGCATGGCGTATCAAGTTGCCTGTGCAGTTGGTTCCGTTTCCTTGAAATCCGTCTTTAAATGTGCAGTTTTGAGATCCCAAGGTATTTTTACACTAAACATTCACATCACAGTCGTGTGTTGTGTCATGCAGCACATTCGTTTATATCTAGAACACGGAAATGAATATCATGTTAATGAGACCCTTTCTTTACGCAATGCAGGTGTTACACTCGTTTTGTATGAATCTTACTCTGCTAGTGATCCTGTAAGAGGCCCTCATGTTGTTACACGTGGCATTAATACGACAACCATGCAGACTTATTTCAAATTCGTCAACCGGCCGACGATAAACGTGAAAAAATACAATTGTTTCGTCTCTTCTTTCTCCACACTGTTGAGCGGCAATGTTATGCAACAGCAACAATTTTGACAGCAGAAACAGCACGATGGAAAAAGAGGACTTATGACCAGCCATTTTAAGTTTTTCACTTTTGTGACCTCTGAATAAATAAGATCAATCATCTTTTCCTTTCGTGGAACAGATGTGAACTGGAAACGTTTTCAGTCGTGGAGCACAAAAGCGTACTAAAGTGCACAAAATACTGCAATACTGAATTTTAAAAAGATGTTAGAGCTGATTAAAAATTTTTTTCCCTAAGAAAAATTATCTGAACAAATAATCCATTTAACCTTTCCTAGCCTGGTCTTTGATGACGAGAAAATTCAGGCCCAGATGTTAATACTGTTCGAGAACATATGTGGAAAAATGGCGGCCAAAACCTACAGTGACAATGTGGTTTCTTGTAACATATTGGAAATTCAGCAAGAAACGGATAGTAAACTTCAACTATTGAGGTGTGTATTAAGCTCAAATTTGACCGGTATAGCTATTCCCAGTTTCAAACTTAAGTATTATTAAAAAAAATATAGATTTTAAACTAACGGAAATAGACACTGTACACTGATAACGAGTACCAGTTGTTTCTCTGTTATACTGGCTCATAACACAGTTTTCTCGGGGTTTGAATCACTTTTTGCATAATTTTCCTTGCCGAACATTACTGCTGTATGAAAAAATGATTGGCGGCCACCGAGTTTCAGTTGTCAACAGGACATGCCCCAGGCACGCTCTCTGCCATTATAGTATTTCTTCAGGAGTTCTTTTTTTGTCAAAAGAGTAAAATGAAACGGAAGACCTTTAAATTACATAACAAAACGTTTTGTTGAAAGTGATGAAAATTTAATGACCACGGGGAATCAATTCAAGGTCGAACCCAAATCTATCAGAACATTTTTTTTCTTGTCTTTTTACATCATGCACAGGATGACAATGGTCATTATCTATACCAATACCAATCTTTCGGGAGCTGATTTGAAGCTTATTTAATAAATAAATTAGAGATATCTTAACCTAAAGAGATATGTGTTGTAGTCTTCCTGTTTTTATTCCATCACGACATGAAACCTTTGTCACAGTTTTTTCAACCAATGACGTTAGCTTCCCTCAAAACAGGTAAAAAGGAAAGTATTTACAATACTGCAGATTGTTTTTGCGCTATAATTGAAAAAATCATGCCCAAAACTTCTTCGGCTATGTGTGTGAGAGAGAGCCAGTAGTTTATTTTTCTAAAGAAATCATGCATTTATAAATAATTCAGACACATGAAATCAATTAGGGACACTAGGTCTTATTGGAAGTATTACGAAAGTGAAACACGACAGGTGTTTGAAGAACAAGTGCAAAGAAGATTAGGCAGTAGGCACAAATAAACATATTCTAGAAAATGCGGTTTGTAAATTTAAACTCTGAACTAAAAAGGAACGACTTTGATACCTAAAGGTTGCGCTGGTTAACCTACACCTTGAACCCTTAATAACAAAACCTGAAGAATGAGAAAATAACCAATAAGCTAGGGAGTTTAAAAACAAGCAACAATCAGCCTTCAAAATAGAATTTCCGCTAAAAAGTAGGAAAAGTGCTGCCATCTTCATTGAAGAAATGCTATTGAAAAAATTGTAAATAGCTGAAGCTACAAAGATTCATCTGGCCGCTTGGCATTAAATTGTGTTAGCTGTTCCTCCGATCTTCAGGGAGTTAGTTAATGGTTCAGGTGATAGCCTTTTATCTGTCATATACCAAACAAATAAAATTAGGCTGACCAAAATCTCTCTAAAAGTGCTTAAATGATTTGAGTCCAAAGGAAAATTTAACTGTTCCCTCTTACTTTATCTATCGCTTTTCTGTCGAAAATCTGCTATCCGGGTTTGGAAGCCGAACTTTGCAAAACCAGGCAAAACCACATCGCCATGCTTTGAAAAATCTAACTTAAGTCACAAACATGCGGGAGGTAATAAGACCCGTCAAGTTAAGTGACAAACAAATTCCGATGTTTTAATGGATCTTAGTAAAGTCAAATAGACATGCGGGAGATTGCAAGACCGGTCAATGTTTTGCTAGATCTTACTAAACTCACAAATACATACAAGAAGTTTCAAGACCTGTGCAGAAGTCGTAAACACATCCCTATATTTTGCTAGGTCTTATGAAAGTCAAAATGACATACGGAAGGTTACAAAACCTGTCAATGTTAGTCGTAAACACATCTCCATGTTTTGCTAGATTTCATTACATTCACAAAGGCATGTGGGAGGTTACAAGACCTGTGCTAGAGTCACAAGCAAATCCCGATGGTTTCCAAGATTAAACTAAACACACAAAGGCATGCGTGAGGTTGCAAGACCTGTCAAGTTGAGTCACAAACACATCCCGATGTTTTGCAAGATCTGTTAAGGAAACCATTGCAGCTAATAAAAGAATCTTTTGATCGGCGTCTAACAGTATGCTCTTTATTTTGCTACACATAGCCGTAGCGATTAAAATTCCGTTCTTTTAGGGACTCACAATAAGCTTTAGTACATTGAAATAACTTAAAAATTTTATTTTCATCTAAAATGCATAATTTACAGCAATAATAATTAGCGGAATAAACTTAAATACTCAGAAGTAGCGGAGAGCTCAATTTTCTGGCAACCTTCAAGTTAAAAATTGGAATGATTTTAAATTCAGGAAAGCAGACACTTACATCCCGTGATTTGAGTCTTTTGAGAAATGATGGTGAGTTACCAAAAGATCTTCTGATGGCTGTAGTGAAATCAGAAACAGCACAAGCAAAAAGAGATAAGTTGATGATCTCCTTGCAAGGAGATTCTCTAAGGAAATTAATAAGCCAAAAACACGCTTCTTGCCCTCAATTTGTCATCATCTCTAGAACTCAGTTCAAGATTATTCTATGCTGTATCATGAAAGTAGACCCTAATTCATCATTTTGACTATTCCCATTACCTATTTGTAGGATAATGTACTGATATCGTTGAAAGAAGTTACATTTAAATCCCCTCAAGGGGCTAGAGAGAATGTTAATCCAGAGTTCCCTGCATTCAAAAACAAAATGATGACATGGCTGTTAAATAAGAATTAGTGCAAGATGAGTTTCAAATATTTCAAAGCCATATTTCATCACCAACAAAGAGAGATGCTCAAAATGACCCTCTCACCTCTAAGATTGAAAATCTAACTCTCCTGGCTAGTTATCAAAGATTTCTTTGTGGGTTACCCATGGGAAATTTTATATCAAAATCTGAACAACATTGTTACTTTGTAGTTATCTTCAATATTAACAGCAGTTTGTTGATGGTGTGTTAAAATGCAGACTATACGCCCTTATCACATCTGATAGTGAGAGATTTTGAAAATCTTCATAACGGGGAAAAATAACATTAAAACATGCTTTCATGATAGATTTCCATTTTTTTCTCTTGTACTCAAGAGAGATGCCATATTTCACCTCCAATCTTCTGAGCCTACTCTGGTCATATTTCATGAAGTATCCTTCAGTCACTTGTTCTGTTTTTGAAATAAAGACTTGGAAAGTGTTAAGTACTCTACACATGTAAAACATGATAAATAACCACTATGAAATATTTGTCCTGTGACACAATCTGACAAATTGCAAAGCTCCTATTTCAAATTGAGAAAATGAAAACAGATTCTATCAGTCAGCTAGTTTAAGCAGCTATAATTGGAATAATTCTCTCCCTCAGAAATTAGAACAAACTTTTGTGTTGCAAAGAAGTCAATATTACATTTGTTATTGTAATTGTTGCTGCTGCTGAAGGCGGTGGACATTTTCAAGGAATGCATCCAAATCCACACCCTGGGAATCTAGAGAAAAGAAAACACAATGAAAAGACAATAATATTGAAAATATTATTTTCAAATTTCACATTATTCTCTGTCAGCAGTTTAAAGTTTGCTGCTTGAGGCAGAGTTTACACAGAAATAAACAAGCAAATTTAGTTTGCCAGTGAACACTTTTGGGAATCATTTGATTGGTAATTTAAGTATTTCAGCTTGACATGGAACCAGTAATATAACAAGCTACCTTAATAAACTGATTCAAAAAAATGTTTGGATTTCTTCAACTGTTACTTGCAGCAATCAAAACATCATCCAAAATACCTGGTTTTTCTGGATCACGACCAACATATGGCGTAATTGTATCTAAGGAAAAATTATAACAAGATTTGGCAACTGAATTAGGCTTGCTGTCCAATTACTACTAACAAAACAATCATAAATAAAAAAACATCTTTATCATGTTTCATGTGTCTGAGTGGGAGCACTGATAAACAAATTATCATTAAGATACATTTCAGCCTGAATGTTATCATAAGTAAATAACTGAAGATTTTCGTATGATTCAGATTACAAATAATTATGGTTACTTTACAGAGGGACATAAAATCTTGCAATATACAATCACTAACTAAAGACAATCATACAATCATGGAGACATATTAATTATTTCTATTCTGGTGAATGATTGCTCTGGTTCTGGTAATTCCACGCCCATAACTTTCTAAAATTGCATCTTTACGTGATTTATCTGAGCTTCTTTTGTGTTCTCACTTGATAACAACCCCATTACAATTACATCTATAATTATGAATGAACACAATCACTTTTTCACCAGTAGGAGCTAAGCCTTAGTAAAAGAGTAACCCTTTTTGTACTTTACTCCTGTTTGGTGCAGTTCATGTAAAACAAAAGAAAAACACAATTAAGTTCAAACAAAGCTCACCTTTTTTTGACTTTAACTCAGCTTCCAATTTTCTCCATTCTGCAAGTGAAATATTCACAACTTAAGTTAATTTTCAGTGAAGGTACATGTTGAGGTTATTTGAGACAATGGTGCTGATGAAATCTATTTTCATTTTTGGACTAGTAACATTTTATTTGAAGTTTGTTAATAAGTATAAGTAAAAAAAAATAATTTAAATTACAGAATGATATCTCTACTGAATGTTTTGATCTGACAGAGGTATTTACAAAAAAAAAAGGGCACTCTTTTACAATTCTTTACCATTTTTGAGATCAGGAAAACTGAGAAATAACAGCAATACAAAGTTCTATGAAAAAAATTCCAAATCTTTCCTGTAAATTTTAATAGCTCTGAATTAATAAAAGATCACTTACAATAACAATCATTATAATGAAAGATTCTTTAAATACCTTACCTCTTTGTAAAAAATCTACATTCTTTTTAAATTCCTGATCTGCAGGACTTGCATTTGGATCTCTTTTAAGAGAGGAGTGGGAGCTGTTACCATTCACATGTGATGTACTAGGAGACCCTGATCTTGGAGGTCTGCAATATGAAGATAATCCTTCACTTTATTATCTTTAATAATTACATTTTCCAGATCAGGACAAGTGCATGGGGCCATGACCACGGATTTACCCCCTTAGAGTGATTCATCGAGAAAAAGAGACAGGCAAAGTCCATTATTTAGTAGAAAACCTGTCATAAAAGAGGGAAAAACAGTTGGACTGAACTTTCATTTTACTTGGTTCCGTATAAATATTACAGCTTTGTGTAATTTAATTAAACAGTTGTTCTTCCCATTGCCAATAAATAAATGATGAGCATCAATAGAATCATGAACTCTCTTCGACGAGCAAGACCTCTAAAAGCGTGCCATTTAAGTTAACTTGCCTGGACTCATAAAATAAACTGCATGATAGCTAATAGTGAATCACTTACTGTCTCCAATTCTGATCAAAATTCCGCTCCACCTGGACTTTATTTCCTACACAGAGCAAGGTTAAGAACATGAATACCTTTCGTCAAAGTGCTATATTCGCAAGATATAGAAATCATTGAGCTAAAATGATGCCAAATTACCTTTCCTTCTTCCGTGTGACATACCAGAAGCCGCCATTTTGTTTAGCGTTCCAGATATCGCGGGCGCTTTCATAGTCACGCTATTCATCAAGACGAGGCTGAGTCGTCTTGTCATGTGACGTCTGGTACAGACTTCCTCTATGATCGAAAAGTTCGTCCATCCTCACTACCTTCCACCAGGTTAGGATGAGGTATGCGTTAATCAAGAATTTCAATAAATCCGGAAAAAGTTCAACTTCCATTTCAAGCCAAGGCAAACTTTCATTGTTCAAATGACCGAACGTTTCTGTCCCGTCCCGTCCTTAAGGAGCCCGATCCCCAAATTTCTCTGTATGTAAGCGGCTGACTTCCGCCTCACATCAGGAGCCTCAGGCGACAGAAATCCCTCACGATGAGAGGGCTAGAAATGCAATCGGATTTAAACCTTATTCCTCTTCTGTTTAAGTGTCAGTTTCTAGATTCTTACGTTGTATATGCATGCATCCATATCTCTGTGTTAGATAATTAAAATTCCTGATTGCCATGTTTACAAGAACACTGGTCTTGCAGAACTTTCCGAGGGCCTAAGAACCAAGACTGAAATGAACATAGCTAGTTTGTTTTTACGCGGATCTTGCCATTTGCACGATCTGAAATCAGGCATAATAAGCATGGCATAGGTGGATTGGTAAAACCGTATTTGAATCGGTGTCGGAACTTGATGTTAATCGACACAAATTTGTAATAGAAATAAGGCTTCAAAGGTCTTAAGAATTCTGAAATATTTCAGAGCAAATCCCTGTGTTTTTGCTTCCGGTTGAAATTCAATGCACTGCGTCACTTGAACCTAGGAAACAAGCCACCCTTGCCAACCTTTCTTTCATCTACAAAGGTTACAGTGTACGTCTTTCTCAGTGGGTGGTTTTTTTAGTATATATAACTAATAATTGTTAAAGAGAATTTTTGTTGTACCAAATTTTACCCGATATTTTGACTAGTACCGCTAAATTAGTATATGAATGCTGGGATAGGTTTAGCCACGTGACGTCATCGGAAGGGATCGCCATGTTGGATTTATGAAGCGCTCAAGACGATTGAGTCTAGAAATCTTTGAAATTTGATGAGGGGTTTTACAGATACATGAGGGACAACGCGTTAAAATGCCAAAAGAAGAGGAGAAGGAATACCTTAAGATACTGGGAGTGGATAAATATTCACCTGAAAGTAGGTTTTTCCGTGGTTATGTTACCCTATTTACCACAGTACATCCTACAAGCGATTCACTATCCTGGAACTTCCGAGTTGAAGTGGGCGATGGAACACACGCTCGTTGAATAATTTTAGGCTAGCACATAGTTAGATTTACTCCACAGAAAATGTATTTGAATTTGTAATTTGTTGGTTTTCGTAATATAAGACGGTTTACCTTATATCGCCGATTATTTTTCAGATGAATTCGAAATCAAACGAGCATATAAGAAACTTGCACTCCGATTTCACCCTGACAAGGTAAAGTTACGCTATATAGAATTTCAGTTGTGCAGTTGTTGTTACTTTCTTTTTTCAGCAAAAGTACTTCACTTCTTCTTAAAATTTTAACTTTACGTCTGCTATTTAGTATTGACATTCCAGCATTCTCTGGTACTTTCTCTTTGCCAAGTTGATAATTTAGTCTCACTCTGTTGACCTTGCTTTCACTTTTCAGAACCAGAGCGACTTCTCGGCAAGCAACTCTAAAAAGCAGTTCGATGAAATCAGCAAAGCTTTTGAATCTCTCACTTTAGGTAACAGCGATTTTAACTTTGCATTCATTTATTTGCAACGACAGATCATGGTAGTGTCATTAATTTAGTAGTTCTGTTAATATGACTTTCTAATTTTGTATCTGGCCAGAATTGCGTGCCTTTCAATCATGTACGACTATTAAGTTTCAGACAGCGAGATCTTTGTAGGATTTGCGTGATGTCTCTTCCTTTTTCTCTTTTACACAGATTACAGAAACGATACAAATCAACCAGACTACGATCAGGTAAAATTTATGTGATCTGTTTTATTTAAACTTAAGAGTTCTCCTCAGAAAGAATTCTTTATGATGTATACCATTTTACACGAGATACAGTTAGATGGAAAATTAAGAATTTGTATTTTTCTTTAGATTTTCTTTGACTTTCTACGCGATATCTTTGACTGGAGAGAAGGTAAGAGAATTTGCAAATTGCTTCCTTTATCGCTGTTTTAAGTGTAACGTTTGGTTTTATACAGGTTTGGCTTTACCGTACTTAATTAACACAATGTCATCCCTGCTACTAACAATCTACGATTGACACGTAAACACTACACAAACCTAAACCGGAATCGGTTAACCCACTTATTGTGTAAATACAAACAAGCCATTCCTATCTTTTACAGTTGTCTTGATAAAAACGTTGGTTAACTCGAGAATGGGGATTTTTTTCCCCTCACTGTTATTGTAATGGAGGCTTTAGGAATCTAGATAAAGCAATTAGTTGTAAGATTTCCAATTACCGTTCACCTATACAGTATGAAGACCATGCAAGTTTTAGTCTTGAGCTGGTTTCAGTGAGTTATCAAGTTTTTAAAAAAATAACAGACTGTAAAATGCCATTACATGTATGGTTCTTCAACTGGTTTGTCAATGTAACAACTAGCTGTTATGCCAATTTGTTTTGGTGCTTTTGTGCTCATTTGAGATAATAGGAGCTTGACACTTTGTCAATAGTTATTATCATCAGTAATTGATTGAAAATAGGTGTGAGGGCCATTTATCAATTTAGGGAATAATTAAAACTTACAATTTGTTTTGTTCTTGTCTAGATGCAGAAGGAGCTGGAACTAGTAACTTTCTTACATATTTCTGTGGTTCTAAGCAGCACCCATGTTCCTCTGATGGAGACTTCGATTCAAGGTGAGAATTAAGTATTATTCTTATTGGTCATCTGTATTTTTGTAGCTGTATTTTTTTTTCTTTACACAAATATTTCACCTCTTTAAATGTAACGGTAGCTGTCGTTTACCTTTTGCAGTAGACGACTGCTTTTTTTTTTATTGCTCCTTACAGTTCTGTAATAGAAAGTGACTTCTCCTTGTAAACTGTGCTCCATTTTTTTAAGTTCCTTGTGTGAATTCACATTGCATAGAAACAAATTTCTATACTTTATAGTCATTTCTATTCTTTTCACTGGCTTTGTGATGTTTTGTGGATATTGCACATGCTGATTGCCTTTGAGAATGTTTACTGAAATGTTACATTATATACTTTGCACATGAAACAGATACCAAGATACTGAAGATGACGAGGACGTTGATGGAGAGGGTGACTTGGATAGTATCATGGAGATCATTAAGGTAACACTTTGTCCAATAAAGCTTAGTGCTTCTGTTAGTTGGTAATTGATCAGTTACTTCTTAAGTATAATTTTTTATCATTGACTGAGTTGATAATGTAAATTGGCCACTGTAAAGAGTTACAAACCTGATATTTTGAGTGTTAGCCCTTCATCACACTTGAAATATCAGCTCTGTAACTCTTTACAGTGGCCAATGTATGTTATTCAACTGAGTTGAGAGTACCAAATTACCCTGTTATACTCTCAAACTGATGCAGCACCACAGTTTCTTTAAAAACTTACCCCCCCTTCTAAAGTGCTTGGGTTACACAAGATTAATGACAGAACCTACCTCCTGGTTCACCTCAGAGTTACTACTTTTGCTTTTTTTCGGTTTTCGTTATGTGTTATATTTATTGATCTCTCAGCCTTTCCATTATTTCTTATACTTAAATTTGTTATTGAACCCCTTTCACCAATTATTTTTATCCATTAAAAAGCTGATAGCTTATGGAAAATTAAAATTTTTGGAAATATTTCTGTCCAAATATGAGATTTCATTCTGATTTTGTCTAAGTGGTTCTTCAAAGTTCCTAAATTCTAAGGGTCTCTCTTACATTGTTTATTTTAGAATCGCAAAAAGAAAGGAAAACATGTTCCTGAAGAGTTCAAAGAAGAAAATGTAAGTTTTTGAAATAACTAAAATTGTTCTTGTTTTTGTAAACTTTTATTGCATTAACTTGGAAAATTGTTGTGTTTTTAGTTGATGGATATGAAGAGTAAATTAAATCAACACAAAGAAGACATGAAGAGAGATGCTACTAAAAAGGTAATAAATGGTTGTTAGTATGTTTTTTGCTTGAAAACTTACAGCCCTGAATTGAGAAGAAAGTTATCACCATCAAGGTGTTATGTGGAAACATTATTATGTCTTCTGGATGATCAGAATTGAAATGAGAGGAAGATTAATGTGATTCCAAATGTGGATCTCTCTCTGACCAGGAAAAAACTTGGTGTGGCCTAAAAAGGTGAAGTCTGTACTCAAGCCTATTGGCCCACCTAGCTAAACCTTATCCTGGTTTCCATGTAGCATGAAGTGACTAGGAGTATTACCACTCCTCCCTGGATGAAATGCCAGTCCATCCAAAGGTTACCCCCCCCCCCCCCCCCCCAGCATTTTATCAGGCTTCCCAGACAATTTGCCAGTGCTATACTCCTGGGAAGGGAGAGGCACTGTGAAAGTTAAGTGTATTACCCAAGAATACAACACATTGACCTGCCCAGTATTTGAATCTGGAACTCTCAACCCCGGGATTAGTGATCAGAGGCCATTGCCTCTCTCAATGTGGCCTTCTACACCACCATCTGCCATTGACTAACACTGATCATCCCAGCCTGTATATTCATTTGTCCAACAAGTTGTGACTTCTCAGAATTTTCTTGCTCATCTGTTCTATACTTTCCTTTTACATTAACTTGTATGGTAAAGAATTTCAAGTTGTAGTCTTCTCTATAAATATCTTGTCCTTTGAAATTTTCAGCAGTCAAGCAAGAAAGGGAAGATGCCTGTACCTGTTGCAAAGGTTGGTATCTAGTGTGTAACAGAATGATCACTTTTGGTTATATGCTGGCAGTGCTTTAAATCTGCAGATACTAAATGTGTCGTGTTTATTAATAATGTTTATCAACCTAATTCTTAGCCAAAACCTAAGAGCAAGAAACAACTGCAAGCTGAGCAACGACGGAGAGAAAAAGTTAGTAGTTGCTGTTTCATGTATTTTGTTTTATGCATAGTAGTATGCCTTGTCATATGTTTTTTCTAGTTTTGAAAATTACATACCCTTAATTAAGTCTTCAGACTTTTCAGTGTGTTTGAAAAGCTGTTCTCTGGAATTATTTTGCTTTGTAGGAAATGGAGAAGATTGCAGTGGAATTAGAAGAGAAGCGAAAAGAGGAAGTGGAAAAAGAGAAACAAAGGAAACAAGTGAGTAGGTTTGGATATGATTGTGTTTTGGAACATGTGTAATAGATAAGGTATCAATCAGCCAGAGAGAGAAGCTACTAGGCAATAGCTCGATAGTGTGTCCTATACTTTTCATTAAAAACTCAAACTTCCTATGCATTTATAGCTTGAGGTTGAGAAACAGAAACGGCTGGAAGAAGAGAGAATTAAAGCACAGAATGAGGAGAGGAAAAGGCGGGAAAAGTAAGATTGTATTGTTTGTCTGCTTTTAGGAAATTTCTGTAGAACTACTGTTGTTATGTTGAAGATTTTTTTCCAGTGGTTAAAACTGATGTATGTTTTCTGTTTTGTTAGCACATTGAATGTAATATTGTTTTTACATGTATGCAAAGATTTCCACCTCATTCGGGAGGTAGTTGAACATGGAACTCTGTATTACCCTGCAAAATTCAATTGAAGCCATTTTGTACAGGGCTGAGTATTTTTTTTCTGTGTTCATTTAAAAAATCTTAAGATTAAAAGAGAGTGAAGTTGTTAGCTATTCAGTGTATTTACAGAACTTTGGGCTTTGCTGAATGAGAATTGATCAACAGTTTGTTTATTAGTTTTTTTTTGTCCCAAGCATGACACTCTTTTTTATTTATCTCTCTTTCTTATATGACTGAGCTGTCCATCTTTCCTAATTCAATTTTGGGAAGCCACAAAATTGAATGGTGTGAGGGTCATATCCTTTTAGGGACTCAGGGACTTATCTTTGTCTATGATCATGACCACCGTAGGGAACAAAAGGAGCGGGAAAGACAGCAAAAACTTGAGCAAGAGAAAGAGGAGAAAAGACGTCGTCAGCAGGAGGAGGAGAAAAAACGCAGAGAAGAAGAAGAAAAAAGGAAGAAAGCTGAAAAAGAAAAGGCAGAGAAGGAAAAGGCAGCAAGAAAGGTTCATGATTTTGTTACACAAATTAAATGTCATTACAAGTTATCTTGAATCAGTTAAATCAACAGTCTGAATTCATTAGTCTGATAAGATTGTTATTCATCTTTTGCATGAGTTTTCTAACATACCAGTTTGATATCTACTGGGTTTGATATCTTGCAAATGGTACCATGCTTTGACCTACAGTGAATAATTTAGGGTTTACTTGAATTTGTCAGATTTTTATCAGCTGATACAAGGCACAGCATTTGATGACTTTCATAAACTGGTATTAATTCCCAAAACATCTTGTAAATACTTGCAAATTGGTTCACCAAACCCACAGCATCTCACCTTACATGAGAATTAATAGTACATCAACTTCACTAGTATTTTTTTTATTCTGCAGGCTGCCCAACAGGCTGCAAAAGGTATGATTGTGAATTTGGCAAAGCATTTAATATGCTTATTATGTATGGGTTTTTAAAATTTGTTTGTATTTTTTTTGGTTTTTAACTCTTAGGCGAATTACTTTCATTTTTCAAGGCTGTAATTAATGATTGTTTTATTTTTAGAAAAAGAAGACAAAGAGAAGGCGGCAAACAAAAATCAGGTAAATGTTGAACTTATCGGTTTCATTTTCTTCTTATCTTCCATGCAAAGCTCTGAATTAGATACAGATTAGATTAATGTTAAATATTTCATGAGTGTCTAAAGAATTTTACATTCATCCACACTTAACTGTGCATTTATCTGTAGTTCAGTTATGGATAAAAAGTCTGAATATTTTAGTAGGTGGCAAACTGAGTGCTCTGCGTTGACAAGGCAACAATTTTTTTGAAAAAATATAACAGCAGTGGCAATAAAAAATGAGATAGTTGTGAAACAAATTAAAATAAACCTTTGAAAGAGAGATTTTGTTTATTTAAGGAAGAGTGAGTGAGTAAAGTTACCATGTCATATTCATAAAATTTTGGGGGGAAGAGAATGGAATTTTTTAGCACATGAGAACCATGAGCTCTAGTTATCTGTTACAGCTGTAATGATTCTGGCAGTCCTTCAGACATAATCAATTATGCTGTACACTATCATTTTTACTGCTACAGAACATGAAGAGACTACAACAGCAGCAGAGAACAGATCAGCAACAATATCCAAGAGAAATACCACCAAGGTTCCAAAAGAAAATGAAACAACAGCAACAACAATCACAGTATCAAACACCTTCACAACAAATGCAGCAACAACAATCACTTCCACAACAAACCAAACCTCAACCAAAACAGCCTCCTGCAGGTGACTAGTAGTAAAAAGAACAGTGAGGTAGAATTGTTGAAAATTATTTTCTTTGACTGCATAGATGTCTGGTTTTTAATTAAGGAAAAAAAGGCTTGGTGTTAAGAACAATATGGACACATTTATATCAAAACTTGGGCTACCTACTGGAAATACATATAGATTTTCCTATTTGAATCCTTATTTTTCAATATTTTCCATGAACAAATTTGATTTTGAAGACTCAACCTGATCAGTTTGATGAAGGAATTATCATATTTGTTATTCAGTTAAAGACTTAAGCTCATTATGCAAGTGATAATTATTGTCTACATATAAAACACAAATTATGACATGTGATAGTGGGCCTTCAACTGTCTGATAATTCTTTTTTGTTAGTTAACAAGAAGAAGGATCCTAATCGTTTTGGACCAAAAGAATTTGCAGACATGATAGAACCAGTGGATGACTCAGGCTGGTCACAATCTGCCCCTGTGAAGGGGTCAGGCTGGGGTAATTCACTGGAAACTTGGGAAGATGCAGACAAGTGGGGAAGTGAGGATCGACAATGGGGAGATAAGGAAGGGACATGGGATAAACTTGTTGTGGATGAAGGAGATAAAGACACTTGGCCATCTGTAGGATCAAAAGGAGCAATAGGTGATAAGATAAAGACTTCCTCCTTGGATGCTGGCTCTGAAAAGGGTCAGTATTCAGCAGAATCTTCTCCTAAAACTTCTGTTTCTTCTATGTCTACTGCACTTATCTCTGACAATTCAAGTTCTGCTCAAGGAAATGTCAACACTAGTATGGACAAAAAGTCTTTGCCAACTAGTAATTGGCATGGGACTTCAACAACATCATCTGAGAACTGGGATGTCATTGATGAGTCTATTGATCAGGCTATTGATGCTGCTGAAGCAGCAACGGCAAAAGATAATGGAGGACTTGGGGCAGGCTGGGGCGGAGTGACCAAGGGGGGATTTGGGGGGTTAATAGGGAATGGTTCAAACTGGGAGAGTAGCACAGATGCAAAGGACTCAGTGTCGTTAGGGCGCAGTCATGACCCAGGAAAAGGAGAGCTTGTGAACACTTCATATGTATCTGAGACTCCAAGCTGGAGCAAAACACCTGGAAAGGCTGTCAAGCCTAAAGTGCCAACAACATCAACAGTGGTTACTAGTAATCTGACAGCCTCATGGGGTGGTACCCCTGCTGAGACTGATACTAAATGGACTGAACCTCACTCTACTTCGGATGGACTCACAAATTCCAAGTCTAGTAAACCACCTATTTTGGACTCTAATTCTGTGGCCAAATCAAGTGGGGACATTGAATCTGAACAAACTGTAACTTCAACCTCTACTACTAAACCTTCATCTGGCTGGGGTGAAGTACCTGTGTCTAATTCATCTAAATGGGGATCTTCTGTAGATATCACGGGTACCTCTTGTTGGGACAATGTAGTGTCAAAATCAGACACAACTTCTGATCTTAAAACCGTGAGTAGCAGCAAAGTTTCACAGTGGTTAGAGAGTACAGGAGTGTCACTTGCAGATTTAGAATGGGGACAAGAAAATTTGGATAATGATGAAGGATCTGAGGGATCTCTAGATGGGTGGACCACAGCATCTAAAAGAAATAGGGTAAGAAATGTCTCTGACTTGAATTTGACTACTACAGTCAAATCCTGTTAACTTGAACCTTCAAGAAAAATTGAAAAAGGTTTGATTTAACGGGAATTTGAGTTATTGAGAAATGAAGATAAAGGCACTGTAGTTTAATGTATCCTAAACCAAGGAAACCTGAACTGGACTGACATGTTTTTGTAATGTGGAAAAACAACAAATGTTACAGGGCTGTTTCAAAATAATTTCATTTAATGTTTTGGACTGCAGTACACGTTTGTCTCAAGTTCACATGTATTGGCAAATGTGGTTTGACACAGTTCGAGTTATTGAGTGTTAAAGATAGATAGAGAAAGACCTTAGGGGAAACGTAGATTGCCGAGGTTAAAATTACAGCAATTGTATGACGGAAATCCTGGGGAAATCGCTTTTGGTTTGAGTTAGTGCAAGGTTCAAGTTAGCAGCGATTTAAGTTATCGGGATTCATCTGTATGTTGTTGTAACTGGTCAATAGTAGGCAGACGCTCTTTTGTGGATTTACAATTACTCTAGGTCAAGTGAGTAAACTTTATTCTGGTTGCTAAGGTTTTTTTATTATATTGTATTAAGGTCAGTCTGTGTGTTCCTTAGTTATGTGAGAGCAGACAAATTCAACCAGGGCTAAATTTCATTGGCCTGGGCTATTTTATACTGAGAAGTGGATAATACTCTCCTGTCTCTTAATGCTTTTCTCCTGTCACTACATTTTATTATGGAAATTCTGGCTGGTTGCTTATGAGAAATAATTATCATTACTCTCAAAATGTTTTAGGCTCCCAAACCAGCTAATGACTCAAATGCGTGGATGAACAGATCTCTCAAACAACTGTTAGACATGGGTTTCAAGGTGAGTGATCTCCTATGCATATTCATGCAGTTGATGCGTGTTAATCTTATTTGAGAACTTGAGAACATTCTTTTCGAAATATGCACGGGTTTTCAAACGTATTTCCTAGGTGTAGAACTATATAAAGTACAGACAATTTTGATTGTCTCAGCTGAAATGGTTTCCTTTTACCATTATGTTTCTTATTTTGCGCAGCAAGAGGATGCTGAAAAAGCTTTGAAGGCAAATCATATGAACATCGAGAGTGCAATAGGTATGATTCTCAGTCATTATTTTATTATAGGGTCTCTTTTAATGTAAAAGTTCAGAATTGGTTTGCGGTTCTTGAAAAATCCAGTGGGTTAATGTTTAAGAAGATTTTCATGGGGAATTCCACTTGAAAACGTTTGAAATAGGTAAAGTGAATTTATAAAAAAGGAAAATTATGAAGGGGATCGAAATTCTGGAATAGGTGATAAGTAAGTTGTGACCAGCCACAGGTTGTCTGCCTATGTTTCTTACACCAATCCATTTGTGGCTCAATTGGTTTTTGCGTATTCCTTTCCCAATATAAATTTTTTTGGTCTCCACCACTCTCCCTTCCATAGTATAGAACTTTATCCCACACCACATTCAGTTCTCCAGACGTTACGCTTTTTTATTTCAAAGATATGTGAACAGATTCTCCCAACTGCTTACCTTAGAGTTTTGTGATGGCCTGTGTTAAGAATTTGGTATATCAAAACAATATCACCCAACTGATAGCTAAGAGTTAATTAACTGATTTTGATCAGAAGGTCAGATATAACATTCATAACGTTATCTGTTGCCGTGCTTTCAGGGGACCTACTGGCCATGAACATGAGCGAAAACAGGGAACAGTCTGTATCAGTTCCAAGTGGAAAACTCCAAGAGCCTGATCCTGCAGAAGCAGCAAGAATCCAACAGCAACAGCAGCAAGGTCAAGGTAAACTAAACCGCAAACAACGAAGGAAACTTCAACAGCAACAGCAAGCCGAGCAACAAACTCTTGAATCAAAAACTGAACAAAGGCAAGGACAAAATGAGGTCGCAGTTTCAAAGTCTGTGACTCAAGTCAGTGAATCTGTTACTAAACCTGCCAGTGAACAACAAGACAAGACTTCAGAAACTCAATCAACTTCTAAAACGGATGAAGTACAACAAGACTCTAAAACAAAAACTTCCACGAGCACAACAAAACCTGAAAAACCTCCATCATCTGTAGCTGGGGCAGTAAAGCCCATAAATGGGCAATCGCAATTGCCTAGCAACGGCAAAAGATCTGGTCCACCAGTAGTACCTCCTGCCCCAGGCCCAGGGGTACAGGGCCCATTGAGACCAACACTTGCTCATCCATTACTTCATCCTCAGTTTGTACAACAGATACATCTGCAGCAGCTGAGAATGGCTCAGGGAGGTCTTCTTCAGCCTCCATTCACCCCTCAGCAGTTTGCTATGCTGCAGCAGATAGCTCAACTTCAGCTCGTTCAACAGCGCCTGGCTGCACAGTCTGTTGCTCAGCAACACTTAGGACAGAAACAACAGGTAGTGCCTCAACAACAATTGTATCAACAGCAACAGCAGATTGCACTCATGATTGCTCAGATGCAACAGCAAGTTCTGCAGCAGCAGCCTGGGCTGGCCGGGAGACATCCTGCATTGCCGTTTACTGCAGTACAACAACAACAACAGCAGCAATCTCTACTGCAACAGCAGCAGCAACAGCAGTCACCTAATGCACAACAGAAGGGCAATAAAGCCGCAACTAATGACAAACCAGCAACAGAGGCACCAACGAGCAAGACAGCAGACGCTGTTAAGTCTCAGCCCAGCGAACCATCTGCTGTTTCTCCTGTGACATCAGAAGAACAACCCAAGCAACCTTCTCCTGTTACTCAGTCTAGGCTCACACAGTGGAAGCAGCCATTGTTACATGAACCTTCATCAGCACCAGTCACTCAGTCCACCGTCACTAGCAGCACACCAGCCTCAGTGGACTCCAAAGCTCAGACAATATCAGCTCCTTCACAATCATCTTCAGGTGTGCTAACCAGTGTCGTATCAGCTCCATCCATTTCAACCAGTGACCTATCTGATTCCTCAGCTCCAAACAGCAACAATGTTTCTCCACGGGCACGAATTCCTGATCCAGTTTCAAGCAGGTGGGGTGTGGACGCTGGTCCCAAGCTGTCTGCTGACCCACCTGAATTTAAACCAGGTGTACCATGGCGCCCTGCTCCAAAATCTGACAAAAGAGATGAAGTGAGAGATAGTGTTTCTCCCAACACCGTGGAAAGCTCCAGTCGTCCATCTTCCACTATTGACTCCTCATCAGATAGCTGGTCGAATTTGGGAAACCAAACTGTCAGTGCGCCCAGCAGCGTACAACTTGGAAGCAATGTAAAGGTAGCAGACAATGTTGTCACTACCATTGCAAGTTCTTCCTTCTCAGGACTGTTGGTCAATAACCATACATTTGAGTCAAGTCAAATCGACTTTGGCGTAGGCTCAACCCCATGGCTAGGCAATAAAGCCCCTGCCCCACCTGCGCAAGCGACAAGTAGATCTGCAGGATCCAGTGCTGCATCACTGTTGAGACCTCCCCCTGGGTTGGGATCTGACACCACTTTACCTGAATCCCCTCTCTTTGACGAAGAGCCTCCTGCTTGGTTGAAAAGCTTAATAGATGGTTCCAGTCTTGGAGGCGATAAAACCCAGCCTGAGTTTCAGTTCAGTCGCTTTGGGTTTGCGAACAGTTCAACACCATGGAGTCCAAGAGATAGCAGTACGCAGCCGTTTAGTCCTTTGACACCCAACCCTCAACCTTGGGCTGCTGTCGGGGGTCCTGCTCCTACTCTGTCATCGTCGGCATCATCTGTAACTATGGCAACAAGTGAAAACCGTAGTGGAAGTGTGAGCACAACCGAGCCATCATCTTTGCAAAACTCAGGGATCATCTGGTCAACGAATCAACCCATACCGAGTGCTGAGGAGAAGCTCTCAGGGAATTTACCTGGGACTTCTGTCCCCCCTGTATCTGCATCTAGCGGTGTTGCTCCTTCTAGAACTGCTGTCAATTCCATGTCAACTTGGCTGGTACTGCGCAATTTGTCACCAAGGGTGAGTTTTGCTCTTACGTTGTCGAGTCCATTAAAATCCTTTCTTTTATCTGAAAGCCAGTTAAGGCAATGTAATGGAAAATTCTTGGCAACTATCTTTTTTCCCCACATAGCCAAGTCATAATATTAGTATCATGAGTGAGTAGTCATACAGTCTGGTCTAGTTCCTTACGTGATTAACATGACATTACTTACCATATCACCCACTCTCTTAGCAGATACATCGTAAAAAAAGGCAAATGTTACTGTCGATTGAATATTTATCTGCTGTATCGAAGAATTAGCAGGAAGAGGAACTTATGACAATCGTTTAATGATCTTGTCTCGCTTGCAGATGGATCCCAAGACCCTCCGTCCTATGTGCGAGAGGCATGGGCCACTGCTCACATTTCAGTTGAATCTTCGCCATGGGAACAGCTTGATCCGTTACGGCAGCATGGAAGAAGCGGCAAAAGCGAGGGCAGCGTTGAATGGCATGATGCTGGTTGGCTCCCAGGTGGCAGCAGACTTCGCTACAGACAGTGACATCGGTAGCTTCTTTGAGCAAACCATGGATTGGAGTGCAAACCCATTTCCCAGCAACACGTACGGTAATCAGTGGTCCTTTCAGAACGTGCTTGGTTCTGCGGCAACTTCGGACAATATTCAATCTACAACCAAAGCACCGATTGGCAAGGTTCCACCCGGAGTATCAAGCACTGAACAGCCCATCCCAAAAGTAAATAACACCACATCTGGAATGCAGTGGGGATCTACGATAGGGACACTGCCCTCGCCCTCGCAAGGCCTTGTTGCTGGCGAACAGTCCAAGGTCAATGCCCCCAGCCCTCAGTGGGTAATCGGCTCACAGGGAAGCGAACAGCCTGGGGCAAAGCCTAACACTGCAGCTCCCAGTGTACCATGGGGTAGTGCACATGGACACGCACCAGCACCGTCCTACTTGTGGGGTACAGGCCCTTCACAGCAAACAGCCCTTGGTGGAAACTTTTCCCAAGTACCCAGTATGTGGTCCTTTCCAGCTGGAGTCCCACGTGATGTGGAGCCTCAGTCAGGATCAGGAGACGGGCTTGTAAGCCCTTCCATGACGACATTCCTTCCCCCTGGCCTGTTGAACGGAGGGGGAGATTCAGTCTGAACTGTGATCATGAACTTAGAATCACAATGCATCAGCGTTTTTTTTTTGTAGTTTTATCGCTTACATGTGCGTTTGTTTCATGTGTTGTTATGTGTGCGTTGGCCCTGAAAATGGGTCTTCTGTGTATCTACATTAATGTTTCAATATTGATTAAAATCTCATGCTATACGAAGAAACTCGTCTTTGGTTTGACTTAGCAACGAAGTTATTAAAACAAGCAAGAAATTAAACAAAAGAACAACACATTGCGGAGGGGGGGAGGGGGGCTTTTAACACTTTATTTATTCATGACATGCACAGTCGCTCATGCACTGTTTCGCCTTGGCGAAGGGCTAACGCTCGAAACGTCAGTTTTGAAACTCTTTATGTTGGCCAATTTACGTTATCAACTTAGTTGATGATACCAAATTACCTTGTTATACTCTCCCACCCACGCAGCAGCATAGTTTCATCAGAAACTCACCTCCTTTACTAATCAGCGAGTTCTTCATTTCGATACGTCATCTGTAGAGTCCCATTATTGAAGGCCACCCTTTCTTCCTGCCCCCAGAGATTGGAGAACAATAATCTAGTGCAAAGCTTAAGCTTAATACACTTCTGATCTACACACAGCCAGCGTTGTTCGCTCAAAATCCTTACTAAAGTGCACGAACTGCTCGGTGTATTCTACTAAAAGCATCCTTTTCAGAGTTCGGCTACTTATTACTAAAGGAGCTGTAATAAATTCAAATCTTTTATTGTTCAAACTCATTCTTCACAAAGCGATTTTGAATTGTGGATGGATGTATTGGATACTACGATTACAAAATATTTTACTAAACTATATTCCGAATTTACGTTAAATAATGTACAATGCCGGGTTCTCCGCAGAATAAATACATCGAACATTTTTATTCTATGTTTTTTGCTCAGTGGCTCCGTTGGAGCGTAAAAGGATGATGACTCGGACAAGGATTTTTTACTTCAAACATTTCTTCAAAAATAATATACATATATATATATATATATATTTCATGTTCATCTCCCATTAACAATGGAAAAATATCAAATAACACCTTGATACTCGAGTCAAAGTATTCTTTACCACCGTAACAATATAACACAAACAAGTTTGAGTGTCACGCAAGGTTAACATGAGAAAAAGAGCGAGAGAGAGAGAGAGAAAAGTGGAAAGGGGATGGGGTGTCACGATGCAACGTAAGTAGCTATTGGGAACATTTCTATTAAGAGGCAGTCCCGAGTCTCCAAGTCTTCTTGAACTTGAGCTACGACCAGAGGAGTCTGTAAGCTTTAAGTTAATAAGAGGTGAAAAGTATTAAAAAAAGAGAAAGATAATCTATGCGAGGGGTTCTTTTTGAGAGAAGTACGTTTGAAACACAGGCTCGCTCTTACACGAGGCCATAGCGTTGTATGTATGCATGAGAAGGCGCGGAAAGCGGGAGCTGAAGTAACGCATGTAACCATCAGGAACAGAGCCGAGCGCTTCCTTCACGTGATCAGGTAATTCACGGTAATGATGTTTCTGTCAAAATAAATAACAACAATACAAAATTAAAATTTATGAAAGCTAATAGACCTATATGCAAAAGGAACTAGCGAGAAGTACCCAACAGGTTTCTTTTTTGTATATGTACTACATACACATTACAGTGAAGTCTCGTAACACGCAGAGGAACTTACAGAGAGAAGATGTAAATATTCTTTTCTTTACGAAAGATCTCCTTGCTAAAGGAGAAGTCGTTATTTCAACTTGCATTTATTTCTTTCGACGAAGAAAGGGGATAAATGTGTTGAACTGAGCCTAAATTGAGATCTCCATCTCTTCAGGACAGAAAATAACCAAAACTGAAGCAGCAGACACCATCATTACGCTTACCTTGTTCCGCATAGCGCGTAAAAGATCCCTAACATGGGAGCCTTTGTAAGTCCTAAATTTGCGAAGATCTGTAAAAAGATAAAACAAAACTTATAAGCATCGATCTGAAGCAACCGATCACTGAGATGGAACCAGCTGCTAGCAAAACTTTTTCGTTTCCAGTTTCTTTCATTGTACTCACCTTCTTGTAGTTCGCTTCCTAAGTGTACTTTCCAGTCCCCTCGCACCACAGGAATGGAATCCTTTTGTAATAACACTAATAGTTCTGATTCTTCGGACTCTTTCTCAATTCGATCACTGACATCCTGGAATAAAATAACAAGAACACGTCAAAACTGCATTCCTTGCAGCGTGGCTGATAACATCGATGTGTTCGTTCAGGGAGGTGGGGTATGACCTCTTATAATTGTCACGATCATACATGAAGTATCTAAGGGTAGGCGATTGCAAAGGAGTTTGTTCCTACCTGAAAGAATGCAAGCTGTTTTTCTCTGCTCCAGAAGAATGGATGCTTCAGGATTTCTTTCGCTGAAGGTCTACAAAAATTAGAATTCTTTTTTAAATGATATTTTTCAATTCTGCAGATTCCAAGGGAAGACATCAGAGATGATGAAACAGAAAACTAAAAAAAAACATATTACTGCTTAGCATTCCCCGGTAATATCTAAGTAAAATATCTAAGTTCACAACGGGGTCAATATTCAGCCATAATGGACTCAAGGTTGTTCGGTCATCTTTTACATGGTCAAGAGAAGACACAAGATATGTTGCTCTTGCCCGAAAACAGTATGGAATTACGAGAGGACATGAAAGACCCATATTTCACGATCGGTAACTGATAAGAACAAAGGATTCACCTAATCCATCCACTCACGTTGCCAGCCATTAGAGATAGTACGTTAACTTTTATACACCATCTTGACCAAAATATTCCTTACCTCTCCGAAGGACAGGGTTTTAACATCATTCTTATTAAATCTTTAGCTTCTGTGACCACTGCAAAAGAAGGGAAAGAAAATTCACGCATATGTAACAAACACAGAAACAACCTTAGAAATGACATAAAAGAAAAAAGGTGTCCAGAAAAATTTTGATGAGCGTATGGAACGGCCAAAGCAAAGAGTACACATGCTTGTACAGTTGTCATTAAATGTATAGAAGGTTACATTCTGAGATTTCTAAAACAGTCACTTTATTTCACGACTCCTGCTTCTTGATCCAAATCCATATTACTTAATTGAAACAGTAGAATTTGAAGTCAATTTCCAAATAATCTCATCAAACACTATAATGGTTGAAGTTTCTTACATTCACAATTAATTATCTTCTCTACATCAAAATCTCCCGCTACTATGTTAGCTTGCCGTCTGTACTGATCACCAAACGGATGGAGACCTCCACTTAACACGTAGTAAAAAACACAACCCGAAGAAAAGATGTCCACAGAACATTTCTAGAGAGAGAAAAGACATCAAATATAAAGTTAAATAAGAGTGTTTGAGTTGTGTGAAACTTGCCTGAGATTAGAGAGCGATTTTTAATCGAGTTCTTGAAAACTAAAGCCGATGGAAGAACTAGATGGCCTTTCCAGCCACCATACCATTCAAATTTTTAAAAACCTATATTAAAGTTCACACGGCAACCAGGTGGACAATCAGACATAGTTTGAAGCTACACTGGTTTGCAGATTTAATGAATGTAACCGAAGAAGTTACAATTCATAGACCCAACGTTTCAACCCCTGATGAAGGCACTAGACAGGAGTGTCGAAACGTTGGGTCTATGAATTGTAACTTCTTCGGTTACATTCATTAAATCTGCAAACCAGTGTAGCTTCAAACTATGTCTGATTTTAAAAACCTCTTGGGCTTAGTTGTTCGAAGGGTGAATAACGATATTCACTAGACAAATGGCTATCCAGTGCAGTACGTTTTGTTGACACTTATCCACTGGATAGCGATTTATAGGCTATAGCGTTATCTGCCCTTGAGCAACTGGGACCTGAATGATGCAGTGGGAGGGGGGGAGGGGCTTTCAGCCAGAGAGTGGGGAGAATTGAGACATCCTTGGTTTACCTTCAACCAGGTGTATTTCGAGGAATGCATAGAGAATAAAATCTTGAGTGTTCTTTAATGACGGGACTACTCGTTATCTCTCTAAACTGATCGTAATTATGCATTCAGTTACCATTTTGTTGTCAGGTTTAAACATCTCAGGCGCTATCCAGCCGTCTGTACCTATAGCACCTGTTTGACAAGTGGCCGAGTTCCGCCCGTACGCCAGTTTCTTACAAAGCCCAAAGTCAGATATCATGGCCTTCACTTCACCGCTCACGGATCGCTTAGAAATTAGAACATTGTGTGGTTTGATGTCCCGATGAACTGAAATAGAAAATATATTTATCAATTGTTTGACAAGAGGCCAAATCATTAAAGACAGAGTTTGCTTATTTAAAGTTTCACCCACAGATTAGTCAGTCATATCTACAATTGACAATGTCACTCACTGGCTGTAATCAAGTAAACAATACTATGCTCATTTCCAGAAAGAGACCAAAATATTCACCGTTGCAAATCAGTTCATATCAGAATCGCAAAATTATACTAACTCACGAACTTTTAATGTTTGTGTTTATTTGTCATGTGTTATTTAATCATGTAATCATTCTAAAATATTTTATTTATTTTCATCTATTTATCAATTTTATTTTTTGGAGAAGAAAGTTTATATGTAAATATTTTTATACACAAATGTATATATACATATATAGCAACTTCAAGCTTTATCTAACCTTTAGCTCCAAGAAAAGTTAACCAGCACTTTCTCCTGACATAACTCAGGTAATTGTTAACATCCAAAAGGGACAAAAAGTAACCAGATCACAAGAGGTTCACAAGATCAGATTCTTACCAATGTTAAGAGAATGAAGATGAGTGAGTCCAGACATGGCTTGATTCAGTACAGTTACAGGTGTTAGTCCATGGCGCTCAAAAGTCGGATCTTCAACATACTGAAAAAAGAAAAGAGCTCTATATTTACTGATATTTCATCACGTCATTAGAATGAAGGACGCTTCCCAAAATTTGAAGTTGATATAGGCCTACCTCCTGAAGGGTAGCTTCACATAATTCCAAGGCGATATAGCGAAATTGCTGATCCTCTTCCTAAAATTACATGTAAAGATAAAAAATTATTAATCATTTAACATAATCCCTAAATAAATAGCCGATACAGAGACTAATTCCTCCTTCCTAACTCAAAGGTACGATTTTTTCCTCAAATATTGCAAATGTACCGTGA